CATCAACAAGGGTACCTGCATAATGAACATTTGTATACCTAACCCTGAATTGTACCCCATGTCTTTAAAATAAAAATTTTTTTTTAATTAAAAAGAAAACAGCAAACCGGCAAGGACTGAACAAGTCTGGCCACAGTTGGATGGGTTTGAAGATGGGGAAGAGAGGACCCTTTGTACATGGAAGACCGCTGTCCTGCCTCCAAAACCCATAAGCATACGGGCTGACTGCTTTCTGTGGGTCCAGAAATTTTCCCCAAAAAACTGCTCTCACTCTGACCAGGGCCAAGGAATGGGCTTCATGACCTGACCAACATACTTTAGGAAGGGTCTTAAGACGAATGGGCCTTTGCAAGAAAGTGGTTCGATACGATCTTGCAAATTATCCTGGCAGCTAACATCTACTGAATGTTTGCTTCTTGCCGGACTCTGTGCTAAACACTAGGGTCTACATTGTTTCATTACAGTCCTCTGCTCTTCCAACTGAGATATCCAAGGACACATTGCATTGTTTCATTCAACCTCAGAAAAACAAACAAGTTAATGGGATTATTAGCTCCATTGTAGACACATTGCTAAACTTTCTGAGACTCACTTTCCTTTTTCATTTGAGGAATATTTAATGAGCACCTACTATGGGCCAGACACTGCTCTAGGAAGTGAGAATACTGAAATGAACAAATCAATAACATTCCTGCCCTCATGGAACTTGCAATCTTGTGGAGGAGACAGTATGCAGTTTGTAACATAGTATCAGGTAATAAGGGCTTAGAAAAACAAAGGCGGAACTGGCTAGGGAGTAATGCAAGTGCTATTGATTTGTACATTGAGATTGTTGTGTTGATTAAATGAGAACACACACAATATTAACACAGAGCCTAGCCACAGTACGCCTCAATGCATGGTGTCTTTTTAACATTCTCCCTTTCCAATAAAAGTCAGCTTCTTTCCCTCTCATCTTCCCAGACCCAGCAGAAGAAAACATACAACAGAACACACATATCTGTTCCCTGAGCTCTTGGCCATAGCATCCTGTGTCAATGACTTGCTCCAGCTACCTTCCTGCCACTTGCTATTACAGTGGGGCTGTCAGCTACAGGAAGTCCACTCAGGAAAGGAGTAAGAGGGGGAGGAAAAAAGCATCCTTCCTGAGCATCCCGTGGCTCCAGCAGCCACAGGAGCCCTGGGAGAGCAATTCCAGGACCCCCACAGGTGGGCCTCCCCAGGGAAGAAATCACTAGTGTGCCCATGATGCTGCCAGAAACCCTTCCCAGGGGAGGGTGTTTTGCCTGGAGGTTGGAGAGGGGAAAGGGAGGAAGCCAGATCACACCTGGCTGGTGGGTGTGACTTAAAGACAGTCATGGGTCACTTAATGACTAGGAGATATTCTGAGAAACTTGTCATTAGACAGTTTCATCATTGTGTGAGCATCATAGAGCGTACTTACACCTTAGACAAGCCTAGATGGTGTAGCCTGTTGCTCCTAGGCCACAGACCTGTGCATGTTACTATACTGAATACCGTAGGCAACCATAGCACAAATCACCAGGCAATAGGCATTTTTCAGCTCTGTTATAACCTTATGGAACCACGATGGAATATGCGGTCCATACTTGACCAAAATGTCGTTATGTGGCACATGACTGTAACTT